TGATAAAATAGTGGTAAAAACATTTTCTTTGGGGAAAATTTTTGCCTCATAACACCCTGCATGTACCTCTCTCCCATTAATGGGTTTTTTAAAATATGTCAGGCCAAAACCTTCTCAAAACTATTGTAAAGCAATGCCTCTAGTAGACTATTTCGTACTAAAAGCAGTCGTTTTTCATGTATATCTGCTGATGCCGATATATAAACATTTACAAAATGTGAAAATTGAAACTAGATCTAACTAGATTAACATGGGTGACCCGTCACACCCCAGTCCCTCCCTCTTCCAGCAGGAGACTAAGAATGAGAGCCTTAAAGACTCCTTTCTCAGCCCATAATCCACCTAATTAAGGACGCTGCTCACATTCCACTGCGTTAAACAGCTGCACATACACTTTAATCCAGACATTGTAATGTACATAACCACTATATTCACTGTATACCATGCCATTATCCTTCTAAATAAGCACCTGTCCCACTCTTCTTAACTGCAGTCAGTGCACATATGCACTTCAACTTATTGCATATATATATATATATATATATATATATATATATTATATAAAAAATTTAGTTATTTTTGCTGTATTTATACACTGAATGGCTAAAAGTATGCCACATGTGACCATCAAACCTAGATGAGTTTGTTGGACATGCCATTCAAAAACTGGACATTAGTCTGGAATTGGCTCCAGTGACTACATTGACTCAAACTGACTCTTCTGGGTAGCTTTCGACAAGATTTTGAAGTGTGTCTGTGGGATTTTGTGCCCATTCAGTCAAAAGAGCATTTGTGAGGTCAGACACTGATGTTTGACAAGAAATCTCTGTTCCAATTAATTCTAAACGTGTTCAGTGGTATTGAGGTCAGGGCTCTGTGCAGGCCACTGGAGTTCCTCCACACCAAACTCCTCAAACCGTGACTTCATGGACTGCACAGGGACACAGTCATGTTAGGACAGAAAATGGTCTTCCCCAAACTGTTGCCACAAAGTTAGAAGCATAATTGTCTCAAATCTCTTTGGATGCTGTAGCATTAACATCACCCTTCACTGGAACTAAGGGCCCCAAACCCTGAAAAATAGCCCCAGCCCATTATCCCTCCTCCACCAAACTTGACCCTTGGCACCATGCATTCTGGTAGGGAGCGTTCTCTTTGCATCCACCAAACCCAGATTCATCCATCAGACTGACTGATAGTAAAACGTGATTCATCACTCCAGAGAACACGTGTCCACTGCTCCAGAGTCCAGTGGTAGCATATTTTACATCATTCCAGCCGATGCTTGGCATTGCGCAAAGTGATCTTTGGCTTGTGTGCAGCTACTCAGCCATGGAAACCTATAGCTCCCAATATACAGTTATTGTGCTGATGTGGCATCCAGAGGCAGTTTGGATCTCTGTATGTGATGCAACAGAAGATAGACGATTTTTACACGGTGCATGCTTCAACACTTGGTGGCCACACTCATTGTCTACCACTTCAAGCTGTTGTTGCTCCTAGACGTTTCCATTTCACTACAATAGCACTTACAGTTGACAGGGGCGGATCTAACGGGACAGAAATTTCACAGACTGACTTGTGGCAGAGGTGGCATCCTGTGACACTGCCCTGTTTAAATTCACTGAGCTCTTCAGTACGACCCATTCTACTGCCAGTGTTTGTCTGTGGAGACTGCAACGCAATGTGCTTGATTTGTACACGTTAGCAATGGGTATGGTATGTTTGGTATGTATTTTGGTATGTTCTGATGACTTTCTAACTGAAAATAAGTTGATATGAATTGGTCAGTTTCGTTAGAATAAAACATTTCTTATCAAACCACTCTGAATGAGATAGAACCTGTGAAAAAGGTTTCGTAAAGTTTAAAGAACCTCCATGTAATGAGGAACCTTTGTTCTTTAGATTGTACTTTGACCACCTGATGTGACAGTACTGAATAAAAACATTACATTTACATTTACAGCATTTAGCAGACGCTCTTATCCAGAGCGACTTACAAAAAGTGCTTTGTCTATCCAGAGAAAGTATCTTCGCTAGTTACCAATAGGTTAGAGAGAAAGCCGGTCCTGAGCTCAGATACTGCTAGAATCAGAAAGTCATTGACACCTAGTGAAAAAGGAACAGAGTTAAACACAGAGCAGTGCAATACAATACAATACATAAGACATTACATTTTAGACATTATTTTGTCTGAAAGTTTTTCTTAATTTTTTCCTCCTCAGACAGCCCGGGTCAACTTTCATTCAAAAACAGCTCTATGAGCGCCGAAGAAATTTCTTATAAGCTCAGTCTTCCGTGCAACATCATGGAATCCTGTTCATCATGGCTTCTAGCCAGGGCCTGCTTAGTTTTACGCACTCCGAGCACAAAAGCAGGCTGATCTTCTACAACCTGAGAGGTGCGTTCCACTAATATCCAGCAATAATGACTGCCAAAAATTCCCATATTCTTAGTTGTTTTTAGTTTTTTATTGTGAAAGCCTTTGTTCTAAACTGAATTACTTACACGTCAAATTATGCAAACAGTGTCATTCAGGTTTTTGAAAATGTAATGAAACAGAACTGAAAAACTGTACCTAAGAGAATGTATGGATCCTAAAAAATACGTTTGAACACATAAGAGAGACGTATTCTGATAAAAATGAATGTGTGGGGGACTGTGGGAAGTGAATTTATTAGAAAAAGAGAAAATCTGCTGGCCTTTGAGATGTATAAGTATGGAAAAAGTAAGTACTAAAAAGTATTTTTTCTTGGAAATGTAATTGAGTACAAGTACTGAATTGCAGTAGTACTCAAGGAAAGTAATCGAGCTATAAAATACTGAAATACAGGATGGATTCTTGTAAAAATACTTTTTACATTTTGCGCATACAATATGAATTTGAATTTGCATATAAGGGTTATTTAATTATTTTTACTATTTTCCACAATGTAGAATATTGCCGGAATTATACATATGGAGTTATATGGGGACCAAAACAAAACCAAAATACGATTTTAAATCCTTGATGCAACGTTGTGCACACTCTTGGCATTCTTTTGAACAGCTTCATAATGACCCATGAGGAATGCTGTTTATATATAAACATTTATATATATATATATATATATATGTGTGTGTGTGTGTGTGTGTGTGTGTGTGTATGAGGTCATCTCTCATATCTCAATGATCTATATTTTTCTAAATATATTGTATATTTGACTGGATATACATATATATTTATATTGATACATTTCATTGTTCATATATAATTTATTTAAATTTCATTACATTATTGAAAAAAATGGTGGTGCAATGAAAGAAGAACCACAACAGAAGATACAACAATATCTTCACATATTCATATGATTTATGTCCTACTAAAAGGGTCTATGGGCAGAAAGATGGTGCTAGACAAACAAAATATTTCTTTCTGCAGCAGTTAATGAGTTGGGGCATTTCATCCATTAGCCCTGTCACACACCGAGCCTTTACAGGGCTTTTTAATTCCTACCTTCCCCGACCCTCCACTTCTTCGTGGACCTGATGAGAAATCACCAGGCTTTCAGACGTCAGGATATGCTGTAGAGATCCAACGCCAGTGTAGAACATCAACAAACGGAAAAAGGGCCACACTGAGAGTGAATCTGGTGCTATGAACACTTTGCGAATAAAGTGAGACTGTATAGTGAAGAATGGAAACCTCAGGACGATTGAGTCCTTCATTTTTTTGAAAAAATATGAAGAAAGTGTTTCTTGCTACCAGTGCAACCTTCAGCTGGATTATTACAATGAGACTTGCTTGTCATTGAAATCTTATGATCTTCAAGGAAGTTTATTTGACATTTGAAATCATTGAAATGTGCTTGTTCATACTGTACACAACTGTACACGTCATACAATTCACATAATACACACCTGTACACAGTAAGATGCTAAATTTACAGTACAGATTTAAAGAACCTGTGAGAGATTGGCGTTCCAGAAGAATCCAACACAATGCAGGTGGTCAGTTCATCTGGAGGCCCTTGTATTGTAAGGAGGAATGATATTGGTACCAGAATTGGTAATGGCCTCAGTACCAGCACTGCTCTATTGGTTTTAGTCATACATACAGATGGATCATCTCATGCGACGTGTCAAAACGGGACGTTCTGTCAACATATTAACATTTGCCCAGTCATTTTAAATAGCACAAAGCATAATACATCCACATGCAGGGCTCGTACACAAGTAGCTGGTGATAGAACAAAAGCGTTGGTATCGATATCTGTATCGACAAATTCGCTATTTGGAGTATCTTCCTCTAGAATGTCAGGAATGGCCACTGTGCAAGTGTCGAAGGTGCGTTTGTCAACCAGAGAAGACAAGGACGAGGACTGGAAAACTATCGACAGCACATTTTTTAGCATGAGCAACTTTGATGGGACATTTCCTTTTGGTGTAGTAGTTGTAAATGTAAGAACAATGACACTGAACATTTTAAAAAGGAGAAAAAGTGGAAGTTCCTCACACAGGTATGTTTGAACTTACCACCCACCTGACAAACTTAGGAAGTTTCCTGGCCTACACTTAATTTTTAAGCAAAAGCACAAGCCTCCTGTGGCTCAGGGCCCAGCCTGGGTGACACCTTGGCGCAGGTGCGAACAGGTGAGGCGGTGGGTTCAGTGAGAGGTCACAGCACCTGCATCTCTTTACACCTTCTCTCCCTGAAGATCGGCTCATTAACGAGGCATTAACACCAGCCGTTTATTTACCCGAAACGTGCTTGAAATAGGAAACAAACAGAGGGGGGGAAGGAGAGAGAAAGGGGGCGGGGTCATGTGGAAAGTATGGAAAACACATCTGCCGGCGGTGTATTACTCTGTTAATACAGCGAGTCAAAAGGTTCAAACAGTAATGAACTGAATAGGTTCTACTTCCAAAAAGAAAGAAATAAAGAAATAAAATGAGAGCAAGTCTGCCTAATTTCCTCTGGTACTCATGTAAATGGTGCCATTAATGCAAAGATTCTGGGGTACAATACAAACAGTTTAATTGTGTCATTAACAATCAATAACCACTCCTAGTTAGAACAGTTTTGCTCAAAGAAACCGAGAAACACTTATAAAACAGTCAGTCGTAACAAAATAACTGGTGTTCTCATTGCAATAAACTCATAAAAAAGAAACACTTTTGTTTTTGTACAGAATATTTTATACAGGAATAGCTTTGAATTGGATTGTTAACCAAAGGAAGACACATTGCAAACATCAATTTCACACAAATTGCATATGTTTTTCTCTCTAAGGTGGTCTATAGGGTTAGTCATTTTCCTAAGCTTATTTGCATGATAGTAAAAATTGCATACAACATTAATTGTGAAGCTTGTAGCATGAGTTGCTTGACATACAGCACTTTTTAGGCAACTGTTAAAGCACATTTTTCCATTTAAAACGTTAAGACACTTTTGATTTTACTGCCCATCAAAATTACATTTATAAATAGAAAAAAGATCAGTAAAATAAAAAGCGCTATGTAACAGAAACTTTCCAAAAAAACATAATTACATCAGAACACAGCATGAACTGCAAATAAATAATGTAGGATGATGAGGGGGGGGAGGTGGCTGTGTGATTCACATTTTGAACTGTGTGAAAATCCTGAAAATTACAGTGACAAAGGTTTGCAAAATAATCTAACATCGGCAGTGCCATATAGTACAAGGCATTTGTTGGCATAGTTTCTTTAAGACTGTATATTTTTTTTTACAATTAATATATGTCTATATATATATTTATATTTCTTCCAAACAAATAATAAGTAAAGATTGAGCTATTCTCCACCACTTTACCTGCAGGTCACAGGGGTTCCAGAGTTTGAGTGATCCTTCCTCATTACCCAGCAGTGCTAGTCTCAGTACCTCACTGTTAAGGCCTTTTTCCTCTATTCCACCCCAGGTTTCAGTTGCATTAAAATAAAAAAATCCAGTTAACACCACGTACGTAAACATCTATCAAAGTCTATCAAACTCGACTGACTTTTTTTTTCCTCTTTTAAAATTCAGTAGCTCAAGTTCAGAAGTTCAGTGTAAAAACAACAGACATCAAGTGCAGTCAGCAAATATCCACGGCAACATATTCAAGATTTTTTTTCTTTTTTTAAGTTCAGTTTTTTCGTTTGTGCAGGTTATTTAAATGATGCATGATTTCTTTACAGTGATAATAATACAGGGCTTTACAAAACATAAAAGGTAATACTCTTTTTTTTTGTATTACTCAGTCCTGGGTCAAGAGTCTTACAGTTCTACTGCTGTAAGGCAGATTAAGAGAGAGAGGAAGAGAGAGGAGGAGACCGGGAGAGCGAGAAAAAGAAGAGATCAAGCTTGAGAAAGAGAGAGAAAACAAAAGAGCACAAGAGATTTCATTCTTTCACTTCTTGCTCGGCCTGTGTCTGCGCCTCGTTGGCCAGGTGCTCCTCCATCTTGATGGAGAAGATGGTGCTATTGGTCTGCGTGCTCTCGTCCAGCTCCTTCAGCAGCTCACCCTCCTTGAAGTCCGTCAGGCCCTCGTCCTCCTCGGCGTCTCTGGGCTTGGCGCCGTGGCTAACGTAGAAGCGCTGGTTCTGGAAGAACTTGATGATGGTGTGCTTGGGCAGGTCCAGCTGCGCCGACAGTGTGTGGATGGCCTCTTCGTCTGGGTAAAGGCCCACATCCTGGATGAAGCTCTGCAGGATGCCCAGGGCCTCCAGCGAGATCCTGCTGCCCTGCTGACGGCCTTTAACTTGGCCCTCGTCCTCCGCCTCGGCCGGAGAGGCTGTGGAGGGCTGGCGAGGGGGCAGGCGGGGGCCCGTCTGCTGCTGCTGCTGAGGAACCTGCTGGGGCAGCAAAGGCTGGGACGGGTGCTGCAGGGTCAGGGAGTTGGGCTGGTGCTGGGCCGTGGGTGGCTGGTGGGCTTGAGACTGTAATGGAACCAGTGGAAAGACACACATCAGCAACATTATCAACATTCAAAGCAAAATCAATATACAGATTTAAAAGCATCTGAAGGTGGGGATTCAACTGTATTGACATTGGACTGTTAGAATCCATTATAACTGATTTGTAATATTATGTATTTATAATACAGACTGACTGAATACAGTGAATTTATTTGATGAATAAAATACATACACTGCACAGGATGAGGCCCTAAAGATTATTTCCATTGTGGTCCTCGAATTCAATGAAGTATGTGCAGATTTTTTTTAGTTTTTGTCCAAAATAAAATTTTTAGACAACTTTTACAGGTAAAAATAAAAACATTGAAAAATTAGCTTTTATTGAAAAGTATGTTTTATAGTTTACATTCTACTACTGTGTAAATAGCACATTTGTGTAAAATATTGAATTATATGAAATTTAACAAATTGTAGTGAGATTTCATGATATATTATTTCCTAAGGATAGCTGAATATTATCAGATAAATTATTCTGCAAATTTGATTGCACAATTTCTATTTATTTGCTGAGTTTAACATATTGGAAAAAAATAATTATAAAATGTGCCATAGCCTTTACACAGACCACATTTTGTTTTATTTGTTTACCACTATGTTAAATTAAGCAAATAATGAGAAACAGTGCATTGAAACGTGCAGACGCGTGTGCTCTGTAGATGATGTTTTCATATTTTCACTTAGAAAATCAACAGAACATCATTTGATCAGGGGCGCCTAAACTTTTGCATACAACCGTACATGAAAACAACCAACAATGTTCAAACAGCCGCATTAGAATGAAGTGGAACAAAAAGCAAAATGTAGGCACACTGATTGGGGTAGGTCTGTCATTGAGAGTATTGTTCCAAGTGGGTCAGAAAGAGGCTACGAAACCTTTTACTGAATGTAATCTGTGGGAATTTTTTTTACCTTTATCTTTCCATGTACGACCATTTTTCCAAAACTTTTTTAACTCTGAAAAGCTCACATAGAAACTCTGGGCCCGTTGATTGCTTATCAAGCACTATTCAAAAGCTGGGCCTTCACACAACAAGGAGGACAAAAAAAGTCCAGACAACTGCAAGGGGTTGATATAATGTGTTTGTGTGTGTGTTTAGGTCAATCTTACATTGGGGCAAAGGCAAAACACAGTGGCTCTGAAATACAGCATTGTTTCACTGCTTGAGGCTATTGAGCAGGCAGCTGTCGGTCACTGTTGACCATAATAAACAGTTTTTTCCTAGGACTTTCCCCAAAGCACTGGAAACCAATGGCGACAATCGCAGATAAAGAGTGCAGTTCAGAGGCCTAAACAGCATCACTACCACTAAAAAGTAAAGCAAGTATTACCTTTTCTGTAAGAAGATTTTCTGTACAAGTCAAAATGACCTTAACATATTTTTCCTTAATGAAGATTCAACAACTGCATTACAGTCGATCCAAAGAAGAGTCCTATTTGTACACATTTAAAAATAAAGGTTCCTAAATGGTTCTTAGCTTGGATGTACAGTTCTAGGAAAAACTCTTAACACTGATTGGTTAAACCTTTATTAAACCTTTAGATTAAGTGGAGCCCCTAAAATTACAACTATTCAAAACTAGGATCAGACATAATAATAATAGTAATACCATAACTGACCTTCCTAGATGCTGAGGAATACAGGTAGAATATAGTACAGTAATCTCTCCATAGCATACGATTGTTACTGACATGTGGATGGGTACATATGTAATTTAAATCCCAAACTTTTTAAGCATTATCCGTGCCATTCCAATACAGCCTAGAATGTAAAACTCAAATAGTGCGAACATGCATGATTGCATTTTCAATCATCAATAAAATCCAAAAAAAATATTAATCAGAATTAAATGGCCTTTATACTACTATGCTTTTGGAAAACTACATATATTAATAGTTTACTTGAGAACATGGATTACTGTGGCCTCAGTATCAAATCTCCCTTGGCACATTGGTAGCACAGGAGGCCTAAGAGAGATTCTTGTCACCCAGCATGTGCTCAAGACATCTGACTCGCATCTGTGTGTTTCAGACTCACACCATTGTGTGCTAATGTCCTCGTCTTAAGTGAGCGAAAACTAAATAAATAACATCCACACTACTCGCTCGCATTGACCATATGCTTTGGAGTAAACAAAATAATATGTGATCAAAGAACCAGCTGTAAGTGAGAAGGGCTGATGTTTTTCTTTTTTCAGCATTCCTGAATAGGCCTTCATTTATCCGAAACAGGCAGCTGTCTTTAAAAAATATGAACGCTGACAAATGTCTGCGCTAATGACAGCTCGGCGTCTCTGGCGCAGATGCTGAGATTGAGTTGAGACTGCTTCAGAAAGTCCTGCAGGTTAATATCCAACAACTCGAGACGGATGCAACAAAGCGTTAAACATTGAAGTAAAAACTGAGCAACTCAGTAACAACGACGCTGGAGTCACAGCAACAGATAAATAAATAGCTGCCGAGTTCCTGTGTGGTGTGATGTGCACAGGTCTGAGAGTATATGTGTACATACAAGGAGACACTTTGCCATCTCGTTTTGGTAATTTTAATTAGCGTAAAATGCCAGCAGTTTTTGTGCAAAGCAGTAATGTGCTAATCCTTTGGGTATATTTATCTTCTACATTCAGATTATGTTCATGAAAATATCTTCCTTGCTATGAAGAGCAGGTTTTCTCTAAATCATAATTTGATGGTTTTCTTTTACAAACCATTGTTAAAAGCACCTGTTGATATTATTTTTGGCCCTAAAGTGGTTTAAACACTTGAAAGGTTTGAGTGTTGATGAGTGCTGACATCACAACGACAGGTTTTATCCCCAGTGTTGCCCTGTCACGTGTCAGGAATGTATGATAGACCTGGTTTGTCTTGATTACGCTTATTTATCAGTTATTAAAAAATGTGAACAATAACATGCTCATTTGTATAAAAATATTTTGAACAGATGTCTGCCACCTTTTAACAGGCCATGTACATGATACTATCTGGGCATATGTGTGCATATGACTGCACTCTTGTGCCATAAATGCATGTATCCATGTGTGTATGTATGTAGGGTACTGTGCAAGTCTTTGGCTTAAAAAATTTTGTTTAAAACCATTTATCTCAGCAGTGTGTTTTGCAAGTAAAAACACAGTATAAGATAATAATAAAATAATAATTTATACAAATAAACATTAAAAAAGAATTTCTTGGGTGATAGTTAGAGGACATTTGGTTCCTGACTTCTCATCGGTGACACCAGCCTTTGCATGGATTTATTAAATTCCATCACCACTACACCTGAATTAATGTAAATAAGTACTGAGTGAGCAAAACTAAGTACTGGATAATAACTGCAATTAAAAACTGGCCTTCTAGTAGTGGTTATGTGACCCATGGACATGGATAAAATCACTATTTATTGTATTATGTTATTTGTATATATTCTACTATTAGCGTTTTTATCAGCAAACAAATGGTCACTGCCCAGATAAATTAAAATGTAAATAAATTTACTCAAATTTGCTGAATTAAAATTAAATTTAATTTATTCCATGGCCTAAACTTTTTGCACAGTTCTGTATATATGTAAGTTTTTTACCCATACAGTACCAACAAAATGGTCTGATATTTAAGCTTTCTACAAGAGCTCCATGTTTAATTTTTTTTAAACTGAAAAAATAAAAACATTTCTTTTTGGTTTCTGACACTAATGTTAGGATTAAGTTTACTATTTACTATTAATAATACTACTAATAATAATAATATATAAGTGCTTACATATATTTTATATGTATTGGACACATTATTACACTTAGGAGCTCGCACTTAAAGAAAATTTTGTAATTCTCCTGAAAAGTTAGCATTTTAGGTTTTGTGCTGAGAGCGCCAATACATAATGCATACAGGACATATTATTATTGTGTGTTGCTGACCTGTAGGGGCTCAGTGGGGACGTGCAGCAGGTGTGCTGGTCGGTCTGTGTGGTGCTGTTGGCCCCCGTTGCTCTCCTGCTCGTAGATGGCATCTCTCTCAGATTGTGACAGACTCAGAAAACGCCGGATCATTGACAGGTTCTCCCACAGTGTGCGGTTCTCTGGGGATGGGTCCTCCTTCCAACGTAGGAGCTCACACAGCCAGCCCTGCACACAAACAACACACACACATCGGTCACAGTATGAAAAACTTTTATCAATACTAGAATTCACAGTTTTTTTAAGTTTGTTTTGTGGTCAAAAATATGAAATATTCACAATTTTCTGGTGCACATAAAAACTGATGATTTTACTAGTATTTAGTCTATTTATTTAGTTCTTGGCATGATGTCTAAAAGTGCTTAGCCGTTTTGTTTTAGTAAGCAGCGAAATACTACACAAAAGCTGACATCACACCTAAAACTAAAAAAAATATATATAATTCTGCAAGCTTGAAACAGGCACGATCATTGTCACACCATTTCATGCTTATAGCAAAAAATGCTATTCTTAGTAAAATGCTGGCTATTTTTTCATGCCCTGGTCATATTAGTTCTAAGGTTTTATCTAATTTGCCAAGTTGTTATTCAAATATTTTACATATGTTTCATGTATATTTCCCTGTAAATGCTTTTTACATGTAATTAATAATAATTTTAGCACTTTAGCCTCTGCTGTTGATCACTGATGACTTGTAGCCAATAGCAACCACCTATGCACATTTATGAGATGCACCTATTAAAAGAGATATTAGAGTCAAGCTGCAGAAAGGCATGCAAAGTATTTTTAAAGACAAGACTACAGTGGGCTATTACTTTTGTTGGCAGATTTTTCCCATTTTGACATAAAATGACTGGGTGTTTTCACAATTGTTCAGCAGCGTCAATCAATGTGGGTCAACTGATGCAGTCCAAAAAGACAAAACAGCAAGTTGGGCTTAAAATTTTTTAATCTATTTATTACCTCATGTTTCTTGGTATTACAGTATACTAATGCAACAACATGATGCTACTATACACATTTTTCTTTACTGTCCTGTTACGTTGGTCTGGTTATATTGGCTCTAGTAAAGCTTACCACTGATGGTATTTCAAGGCAGTCCAGAAAGACGAAAAACAAATGGTGGAGTTTTTTTTTAAATGAATAAATTTATTAACTATTATCTCACATTTCATATATTACAGTTAAAAGATGTGTTAAGATCAGGCTTCACTAATAAGGTGCATGATTACACAATGCACATGATTGGGGTGGGCGATATGGCAATAATGTAATGATACTTAAAGAGATTTTCCCAAAAAAATATGCATCCCAACATTTCGCTTGTCTGAGGCTTGATAAGTTGAGAGACAAACAACCACCACTAATGCCACTTTTAAAAGATATTATCAAAAACTATAAATATATTTCACATCCTACCCTGGAGTCCACTTAAACAGGACTTTTTATGCTCTCCTTGTAACACAGTTGATATCCACAATATGATGAGAAACTCAATGTGACATTAAATCGCCATACTGCCCACCACAAGCTAGTGTTTTTTTTTCATTATTGACACTCTATATTAGGCAGCTGTGGCTTATTCTGCAGAATCTACCACTGTCAGTGTTTCGATAAGCTGAACACATTTGCTCCTGTCCGTGCCACATTATGCTCTCAGGTCTGATGTCTTGTTTTTAAACCATAGTATTTTATTCACCTGGTTTTTCCTATTTTCTTTTATTTCTATATAGATCTTGCCATTGAAGGGCGAGCCTACATCCCTCAATGCAGAAAGAGTTCCACTCCACCGCTGTATGGAATGCAACAGAAGGAGACAGAGAGAAAGAGAGTGTAGAGGAGAGAGTGTGTACGTATGCCAGCACCATGTCCTGGCACTGTTACAAGTGTGATGCCGTAATCTCCAGACCAGTGTGCGGCAGCACCTTTCATTTCCACAGGATTACCCAGCGCTCGGCCACACACACACACACATACACACAGAGGAGGCCAGTGCCAGCACCAGAGCCACACCAGCGCACTGCACGGCTGAGATAACTCAGCAGTTCTGTTGTCCCCTGCTCCAACTCCTCCCAAAGCCACATCAAACCCGGGAGAGAAAGAGAGGGAGAGGGACATAAAGACAGTATAGCCCACCTTGTTCCTCTGCCACATTTATTGTATTTTTTTTTTAATTTGCATGCACAGGGATTTGGGTGCTGTTTCCACTCTGATGTCTGCAGTTTCAGTCAACTCGAGCACAAATCAAACACAACCATTAACCGTCCCATTATATGTTAAAAAAAAAAAAAAATTCACAATTCAAAAAACTCCTGCTGGATTAAACAGTGAGCAAGTTGCAGTGATCAAAAGCATCCACTCTGCAAATAACCATCTAACTACACTTCTAAAGCCAAAAACGTCTTTCATATTATGCACATCGCATCAGTGATATTGACCGATTGAATAAAGATCCTTTCGTATATGTTGTTACTTTTTCATCCATGTTTATCTTTGTGAACGTTTAATGATCAATGGACCGAGAGAAACAGTTAAAAATTTCTTGGAATAAAATCTTTTTCCATTAACATGTGTGTAATTTAGGAAAGTTTTCTTTTCCTATGAAGTTATCATTTCAGACATGCGTGATTTTGTTACAATGGTGTGCCTTTCAAATCGGAGGGGCAGGGAAAGAGGTCCCTTGGATTTAAAGAACTGAAAACACGTTTGTATTTGTCCAATTGCATTTCTTCCACCGTCTTCCCATACACAGAGAGAGCCAGGAGGCACCCGGGCCGGCCGGGGGTGTGTAATTGGCTTTTTGAACAATTATTTAACAGCAGAACAGCAAGCTACTTCTTACCAAAGTGAGGTGCATAAGGTATGGAAATATTCAACTTCTCGTTCTAACAGCTTCTTCCCTGAAGTCAAACCGTGAACATGAATGCTATCCTCAAATCAGTGATGTCACAGCTTCGTTTAACTGTTGTAAACACTGTAGATTTAGAAGCCACAATGATCCCTTTTAATATTACACAATGCAAGCTTCGGTTCTTGCAGTGCATGTACTGATACTGAGAACTATAGACTTCCTACCTAGCCCTGATAAGATTGCTTCAGCTCTGAACTGTTGTCTCTCCTATCTCTTATAAAAGTCATGTCAGTCAGTAAAGCACTGTTTAAGTTTAACTACTGCTTAATTTTTAACCATATTTGACTAGATCATCAACTGATGTTACTGGTTATTGGAATTTTGTCTCCATAAAATTGGTATCGGTCACAGAATGTTCATATCGGTCAGGCCTGAGAGCTGCGGGAGGTGATGGTGATTGGTTTTGGCCTGTAGAGGTGTTGGAGGCAGAGGTAATAACCTCCACACTGGGGCCAGGGCAGGCCACGCAGAGCCTCCATTGTGTTCTGTTGTATAAATAGCAATTTGGCGTTGTGATAAAAATATTTCTCTTGGAACACAATGGATGAATTCATGCACGAGATTCACCCAGCTATGCAGCGCACCATGCATTTGGGTATGTGTGTGAGTGTGTGCATACGTGTGTATTTGTGAGAGAGAAAGAGAAAGAAAGTGCAAAACAGGGTGTGTGTGCGAGAGAAAGTGCTCAACAGAGACTGTGTGTGTGTTAAAGCTATGGCAGTCACAAGCTGCCAATGAGAGGCGCACAGGGCCGCTCTGTGAGGAAACAGCGCTGCATTCACGTCCCTTTAACTGCCAGGCCCTCGATCGAGAGCATTAATAAACTGGTCAGTGAGCCGGTCAGTCCAGGAGCCCCTCAGCAGCATAAGCCAAGCTGGTATTTATCACAGAGCTCTCTGCCTAGTCACGAGGCTTCGGCAACACCTTTACATTATCCCATTTAGTCATTATCATACCCCACAGCACAATGCACCCATGCATAACCCGCCCTGTCCTCCGTAACCCTAACAGCAAGGCCTCCGCTGAGCCGAGAGAGCCTGCAAGTCTGCAAAAAAACCTGAGGAAGGGTATACTTCACATTGTTGCTGTCGTAACAAAAACATCTCCAGAATGGTACACTTATAGGTAAATATTCCCGACGTATTGTCGCTTTTGGAACAAAACCTTGTAATCCAGTTTTGTCGGTTGATTATTTTTTTTTACACAATTTGGAAATGCCGCATGTCCTTTACAAATCGTTGAAATTTCAAATTCAATAGAAATACTCCAAAATAACTTGGAAAAAAATCTTGTTCCATTAACTTTCGATCAAAGTAAAAGACGTTTTTTTCTTCTCCTGTAAGTTATCATTTTGGGGATTTTGGTCCAAACCCAAACACAACCCGAGAACTTTGTGTCCAAGTTTGACCAACAGCAGCTAGTTTTTTGTCCAAACCTGACCTGACCCAAACCACACTACAAAGTTCTAAATCCCAAACTGACCTGAACCTATTATCACCCAAAGTGCAAACAAACTCATATTTCTAATGATAGCTCCGATTAAATTAACGTGTTACAATAACAGCCATCATTACATCATAAGTAAATAAAATAAAATAAATAACACAATATGACAAATGAATCAGCTGTCCAAAATTAAATTTAAATTCTGCTTGAATAAATTTATTCATCAGGTCATGCTTTCAAACAACTTCCTCAACTTTTTAAATCTGAGCTACAGTGCAAGTGCATACACTTTCCATAATTTACTATTCTCATGCTGTGTGGTGCTGATAGCGAGATGTGAAGCAAGGTGTTACCTGTTCACATAAAAACATATCATATTGAACATATAACATTAAAAATATTTTTGGCCAAACAAGTTAAACACAAACGCCCTTTGGTGGACCTGTCCCTGTGGACCTGTACCTGTGGTGTTAAATTGTGCCACAACATGAATGAGTGACTGCAGCATGAGAGAATAAAAATCCTTTGAATGTAATGAAAGGTAGGAAGAATAAAGTAAAGACAAAAACTAAAGTAGGGTAAAATGTAGGGTAAAATCTTTTAAAAGTGGGAGGTGGGCTATAAAAACAAGGCAGTGAAATTTGAACAAATATTTGGGGGATGACGTTCAAACCCGCTCATATCTCACTGAACCTGATTTGAGCAGTCTGGTCCCGTCGGATTCTGACAAATGAATGTGTTTGGTCAGCCACACAAAACATTTCTCAAATGGGACAATAAACTGATTCAATTTTACTCAATTCAGTGTGGT